CTGTGCCTGGATCATATTAACAGCTCTATTCAAGTTTATTATTAATTCTATGAACTAAACTACATTTATTATCTAAAGCAAGGGCTTCCTGAGATAATAAAAATCTGTCTAGTGTAATTCTTAGGCTAAAACTCTCCAAAGCTTTATAGCTCAGCATAGCACGGGACATTGTGACATCAGTGAACTTATTATGTGAAACACATTCTGCCCACTGACAAAGACTTTTTCCCCCTAATGTTTTTATTTTACCATCTGTTATTTTTTCCAGTGCCAATCATTATCTTTTGTTGTACCTTTAAACTATCTCATACAGGTCCTAGAAATAACCTGGAATTTTGCTTCTGGAGCTGGAAAACTCTTATATCTTATTCACAAACCTGCTAAAATGTTCCCTTTTATGAGACAAAAATATCACCCCAAAATTTTCAGATAACCTTACTTTTAACTACTGTGGTTTCCTAAATCAAAGCAGCTAAATTTGAAAAAAAGTTCAATATTGTTTCCTTCGGGGATCAACTCGTATTTCTGAATTATGATTTGAGGATTTACAACAATGTTTACATCGCTAAATTTTTCTCCAATGTGAGTTCTTTGATGTACAGATTTCTGAATTCTGGTAAAGGTTCCTTGACTTCAGGCACTTGCTTAAGTTCATAGGCAGCATCATTAACCTAGTTTAGCAAGAAATATTGAAAAGGAGTTACATACTAGAAAGAGAGGAGCTAAGTTTACCCCACTCACACTGACTGTATCAATAACAGACTTCAACCTGTCAACTAGATACTAATCTCCCCCAAACTGACCACAAAGAACATGAAAATCACCAAGTCCAAAATTAAACATTTTGTCCTTCTCATTGAAATCTGTTCTTCCTCCAGACTTCCCCATTTCAGTAAAAAAATATATTAGCTTCCAAGAAAATCAAGACAGAAATCAAAACCATCCTTTATTCATTATTCTTAAAATGTCCCTAAATGTACTGATTCTATATCTGCAATATAATAGTTCAAGCTGGTTCCTCCTAACTCTCACCACTGTCATTATCACCACCACCCTCCTCCACCTGACCAGTCTATCAACTCCATATGACTTCCCTTCTCTCTCTTGGTTCACGGAGGGCAGTTGGATCAAACAATTTGTTACTCCCCAAATTTCTCCTAACTAAATGCCTTTGTGTATGTGGTTCCCACTGCCTGGAATGCTTCTCCCTCTTTCCTTTGTATCACCCCTGAAAACCTATTCTTCCTAAAACCAAGCTGAATAATGCTTTTCTCTTTATCTTCCCTAATTACTCTAGATCCTATAATATATTACAGTTCTTTTCCTACTATTTTTGTTTTCCTCCAAGTCCTAAGTTCATCAAGAACAGAGTCATGCATTCTTCACTTTATAGCCTTTAGTGAAAAAGAAGACTATGAGGAGGCCAGATGATGATGCAGTGGTAAAACATGATTTTCTCTGATATTTTACATGAGGAGATTCTCAGTTCAGGTTTGGGGGCCTCCCCAAGTATGCCAGATATGCATGTGCCCACAATCTGTAGCTAGCTGAAGGCTGGGAGTGGATCATTATGTCAAGACCCTATTAGGGGTGCTATCTTTCTCTCTTTCTATCTCACTCTTGTAAGTAATAAACTTTTTTTAAAAGTGTACTAAGAACTCTAAGAAACTTGAATTCAAATTTTGCATTGTCACTTCCTCATTATGTGATTTTTAATTATTATTTTAGATCTTGTCAATAAGTTTGACTGAGAACAGCGTTTACAGACATACTGATCTGGTCAACTCTCAGGAAAGATTACTGGGACTTTGGGGCTATAAAAGATCCAAAAGTAGTGGCTTATGATTAGTCCCATGTGCTTTGCAAATTTGAATATAATTTCTCTGTATGATCAGATGAGAAAAGTTTGGAAAGCACTAACTTATTTCACTGACCAGTTTGTCCCTATGTAATTATGATTAATAAAAAATATTGAAGAAAATGCCTATTTCAGAAGATTGTTGGGAGGACATATCTATGTTAAAGACACAAATTAGCACAAAGTCTAGACATAGCTGGCATGCAACAAATGTTAGTTCTAATCATCATTTTATTTTTTCTCTTGAAAGTCTCATTTTTCTGTTTTCTTTCTGTTCTTCCTTTTTCTAAATATTAAAAAAATCATTTCTATACTTCTATTTCCTCTCTTTTTTCCCCCTTTACCTCAGCCCCTCTACCCTTATATTCTTATTCTATCCTTCTTTAGATTCTAAAACACACATTGTAAAGGTCTGGTTTTTCCCCACTCACTATGCATGCATACATATACTGCACCATCACTCCAAACATACTAACTATGAATACTGAGAACTTATCCAGATGTCTTTTAAATGACAAGAAACCTATGAGAGAGTAAGAGCTTATTTTCAAAGCTAACAGATCTCATTCAGGACAGTTTTAATATTACCAAAACTAAGAAAAGATAGGCAAAAGAAAGAGAAACATCATAGAAAGAATAAGAACAAAGAAATAGACTATATTGCAATAAAATAATCTTGGTTGAAATAACATTCCTTAATATATGAAGCAAATAAGTCATCATCATTTCTGGAGTGAGAATCTAAATTGATTGAAATTATGTGACATAGCAATGAATCTCTTAGAACAGGGGAGCCCTATAGCAACCTGTTTAATTTACTCTAATAGCTCCCAAAGTTTCAGTGGCAGTGGGACCCTTCTTTTCCTTTAAAATAGATTCTTATACAAATAATGAGAAGCTCTGGTTTAGAAACCATATGGGGCCAATCATCACTAAAAGTTGTCTTCTTTCATTCATTACTGAGTCACTATATAATGCCCAAGATGTGCCAGGTACCAGGGATACAGAAGCGAAGAAAACAAGTAAAAATTTTCACTCATGGATAATGTGCTAGTGGACAGGGTAAAAGTCGATGCACTTAATAAATTATATGTTAGGTTAGCAGGTTATAAGTGCTGTGAAAAATAAATAGCACAGTGAAACCAGGTCTGCAATTTTGAACAGGAGAATTAGTTAGGGTTGGCCTCAAAGAGAGGGTAATATTTCCTTAAGACTTTAAGGTCACAGCAGAATGAGCCAAAGTGGGTATCTTCAGATGAAAGCAACTCCAGGTAGAAGTATAGCCAAAAAAATGCCCTGAATGGAACATGACCAGCATGTTCTAAGATTTCAGTGACATCAGTGTGACTAAAACAGATTGAGTAAGGGCTACATTGGTAAGATATGAGATCAGTGAGGTAATGAAGGCTGAATCACACAGGGTATTATGGGCCAAAATTTATATGTTGAAGTCCTAACTCCAGTACCTTAGAATGTGACTATATTTGGATATTTAAAGAGGTAATTAAGTTAGAATGAGGTCATTAGAATAGGCCTTTATCCAATGTGATTGGTGTCCTTATAAAAAGAGATTAGGGAGATTAGAACATAAACAGAGAGAATGATGACCATGTAAGGGTACAAGAAGGCAGCCATCTGCCAGCCAAGAAGAGAGGCCTCAGAAGAAGCCAAACTTGCCTAAATCTTACTTCTAGCCTCTAGAATTGTGATAAAATAAATTTATTTTGTTTAAGTCACCCAGTCTGTTGTGTGTTGTTATGGTAGTCTTAGCAAACTCATAACTGTAAGCAAAACCCTGTAAAGACTTAGCTTTTTTTCTTCTGAGTTAAATCAGAAGCTTCTGATCAGAGGAAACCTATCAGTCTGGGACTTCTATTTCATGGTAGAATACAGGAAGTCACAAGAAACAATTTTTCCTACCTTCACAACAAGAAAGGTCAAATGGCCCAGCTGTGGTAGCACAGCATCATTCTGCAATGCTGGAAGAGCATATGAAAAATCAAGTTGCAGTTATCTGTTTAACCTGTACATACTGGGTTTCATAGGTACATATGCCTGTACTCCTATAACCCTGGCTAGCTGAGAAGGAGACTGCAGTGGGGGAAGGGGTTACAGCATAAGATTCAATTGAAGGTGCTTATCTCTCTCACACAAACATGAAAAAAAAAAAAAAAAGAACAAAAAATAAGTTCATGTTTATTTGATTTAACAACCAGATAACTGGGGATGAAAAGAAACTTAAGTGAACTAAATTCCGTAAAAGATACATCTTTCCTAGGAAAGAAATCATCCACAGGTGCTTTCTACCCCCGTTTTGTAGGAAGAAGAGCAAATCTGCAACTGACAGACCATGATACAGCAGTCGAATGTATACATTTTTAAACAGCTACCTATGAGCTGGTATGATGGATTAGATATGATGAAACCTCATTCACAGAGTCAGCATCCTCGATCCAAAGATACATGAAGCCTCCCCTGAATGTAAGGCAAAAACCCTCAGAAGGTTGAGGACAAAGAAGGATGGCTGAAAAACAACAGACTTCCTCATTATCTTTTATTAGCTCCTTATTTATTAATATCTGTTTAGTCTGTAGTGATGCCACCTCACTCATTCCTGATACTGGAAATGTGTGCCTCCTCTTTTTTTCTCCTTGATCATCCCTGGCTAGAAATTAACCTATACTATTGATTTTCTGAAAGAACCAACTTTGTCTCCATTAATTTCCATTTTTTTTTTCTTTTCTCTATACTTCTAATTCCTGTGTCTATCTTTATTCTTTGTTTCACTTAGATTGGGTTAATTTTTTCTTTCTTTCTCATTTTATGGAGTAAAAGCTAAGCTTGATTTGATAATTTTATGCTTTTCTAATATATACATTTAATGCTATAAAAGCTCCCCTACGTATTGTTTTATTAGCATCCAATAAATTTTTATATGTTTCGTATAAACATTATGTATGCGCTTTCATTCAGTTTCAAATAGTTTCTAATTTCTCCTATAATTTATTTTTCAATCAATAGTATATTAGTTTCCTATGACTGCACAATAAATTACTATAAACTGGGTGACTTAAAACAACAAAAATTTATTTTCTCAAAGTTCTCGAGTCCACATTCAGGTTGTCAGCAGGGCTGTGCTCTTTCTGAGGGTTTTAGGAAAGATTCTATAGTTTGCCTCTTCTAGTTTCTGTGGCTCCAGGTGGTCTTTGGTTTATGACTCCATAACTTCAGTCTCCGCCTCCATCTTCACAGCATCTCTGTGTCTAAGTCTTCTCTTATTTATTTTTTTCTTGTAGACATTTTCAATAGGTTTAGGTTCCACCTAGATAATGCAGGATTATTTTATTGCAAGATTCTTAACCTAGTTATATCCACAAAAATTCTCTGCCCAAATTAGTTCATCTTCATAGGTTCTAGCGGTTAGAATATGGACATATATTTGTAGGGCCATGACTCATCTTATTACATATGGGTTATTGAGAAGTATGCTATTTAGTGTCCAGTTATTTGGGGACTTTCTGTTACTGACTTATAATTTAATTTCATCACAGTCTGAGAACATACTCTACAATCCTTTTAAATGTAAAAGGATTGTAAAGATACCAGTATCTTGGTAACTGTATCACGTATATTTGAAAACAGTGTATATTCCCGGGAACCAGCAGGTGTCGTGGTGGTTAAAGCACTGGACACTCTCACATGGCTAACCACAGTTCAAATCCTGGGCATGGCAGCTTGCTTTCTCTCTTTCTCTCTCTCTCTCTCTCTCTCTCTCTCTCTCCCTCTCCCTCTCCCTCCCTCCCTCCCTCTCTCTCACTGTGTGTATGTGTGTGTGTCTGCTCAAATTAAAATAAATTAATAAATAAAATTTATTCATTTATAC